GCTGCTGCTAAGTCACTTCAGTCGTGTCCGACTCTGTGTGACCCCATAGACGGCAGCCCACCAGGCTCCCTGTCCCTGGGATTCTCCAGGCAAGAACACTCCTAGTGAACCCCAAATCCTCTTGCAAGTTCTGAAGTTTATAGCCCCTTGGATGTGCAGCCTGCCTGCTGGGATGTCACACCCTTGCTCACCCCTAGAATGCTGCACACACCACACCGTTCTCAGCGCTCTGGGCGTGCACTGCGGGGTGTTTTGGGCAGGACTACCAGTTCCAGTAAACTGTGAGGTCTTCAAGGCCTGGCCCAGACCCGATGTCCAGGAATTGGACATTGCCATCCCCACATCACTGATTAGAAAACTAGATGCCAAGATGAACCAGACTTCCTAAGCCACGGAGGAAGAAAATACAGAGCCAGGACAAGAAGTCAGGTGTGACTGCCCCCGAGGGTATCACTGCAAAGGTGTAGACCTGAATCCTGACTGCCGCTTCAACCCTGCCCAGCCGCTTACTCGTGTCATGTCCACTGCAGATTTCACTTCTCCGGGCCTCACTTTCCTCATCTGTAACCAGGGTGATGCCAGTGCCTGCTCAGGGCATCCAGGAATTAATGCAGGTCAAGTGTGCCTGGCACATCACTCAGTACACAGTGCCCTCCTCCCCCTTCCTCGGAGGGTGACCAGGGGTGGCCAGGGCTCACACAGCCACGGTTTCCAGAGTGGGCCCTGGGCAGTTGGGGGGTGCTGTAGGGGTGACAGAAATTGTGTCCGAGAGAGAGGCAGTGAGGCCAGCCTTGGAGTGAGAAAGACAGGAGCTTTGAGTGAAGGGCAATGCAGACCTTTGACAGCTAACTGCAGGGTTTCCAATCCCTGGGAGCAAGCACCAGGTATTAATGAAAAGGCATGACTCCAATCAGAAGTGGGAGGGGTCAAGCGATGGGGGGTCCGCTGCTTGCATTCACATGGGAGAGACGACAATAGGCAGAGTGTGTGTGTATGTGTGTGTGGAGGTGGTTTCAGGTAGCAGTGGGTGCTCCAAAGAAAAATAAAAACAGGTGAGGGGACAGGGTGACAGGGTAGAAGGGGCTGATGCCAAGCTGGAAGGGTGACCAGGAAGCGATGTGTGGGATTGGGTTAAGACACGCTGTGGGGATTGAACTCGGGCTGATGTGGGACCCAAGAGAATCTCCTTGGCCCAGGGGACCTTCTCCAACCCCGCCTACTCTTGAACTGGGCCTGGGCCTCCCTGGGGCTCCCACAGCCTGTAATCCCTCATCCCAGCAACAGTGCTTCCCCCTGACAACCTCAGAATAGGTCACCCAGTGCTCCAGCCAGACACTACCACCCTCAGACCAAATTTCAAAGTTGTGAAGTAAAGAAAGGAGAAGAAGAGGGAAGAGATACCTGCTGTGAAGGTCTGAAGGTTTCATGAATAAAACTTTCCCCCCTACCCCTACCCTGTCAGAGGGACAGACTAGTCAAGATGAGGGGCAGGAAGACAGACACAAGATCAGTAAGGACAAAGTAGTGTGGGACACACAAGGTCAGAGTGGCCAGGAAAGGCTAAGGATTCATCTGGCTTGTATAGAGAAGGTTTTACAGAGGTGGGGGCCAATAGGGTTTTGAAGGATGAATAGGAGTTCGCCAAATAGGGTAGAGAAAGGCCTCGCTGTGTGTTCCTGTGTCACAGAGCTGACCTCTGGCATGGGGGTGACTACATGTCTATTTTCTTGGGAGGCTGGGTACACTTTGAGGATAGGCACTCAGTCTCACGTTGCTTAGCTCTGGGACCCCGGAGCACAGGGCTTAGCACAGCGCAGGTCCTCAGTAAACAGTAGCTGCCTCCAGCATGAATGGTCCAGGTTAGGTACAGGGTTGGGAGACTTGGGTGAAATGGGGAGGAGACAAGGTGAGGGGCCAGATAAGGAGAGACCCAGGCACCCAGTTCTTTCCCTTTTTCTTCTCCTCCAGCCTTAGTTTACACTTAAGTGCCAGTTTGGGATGTGTGTGATATACAGAGAAAAATCTCAGACCCTGGGAGGGAAATAAACAAGATTCCCATGGGCCACTGGCTTCGCCACAAATGCCAGGCCAATCAAGAGGTGATAATTGCATCCTCCCACCAGATGAAGCCCTCGTAAACTTTCTTGGGGTTGGGAGGTGAGGGGGGCAGGGGACACCCTCACTCCCGTTATTCAACATCGAAGCTAATTGGCTTTCCCCGTTTCTCAGAATTTATGTGTGCAATTTGCCAATCATTTAGAGGCCAGCATGTTTAAACATTTATTCCTCCTTCTGGGGACAACGTTGATTACCATTTCATATTTATGAATCCGCTGGGTGGGCAGCTGCTAAGTCATGGCAGAAAAAACGGGTCAGCATCTCCAGTTTGCTGGTGAGGAAACTGAGGCACGGAGCTGGGGAGTGCCCACGGCCACCGGAGCAGTGGTGGGTAGCACCACCCTGGCACCAGGCTGTACCACTGCCTCTCAGAGCATCACACACGCAGAGGGATGGTAAGAACCCAGGGAGAAAGCATTCTGTGAGATGTGAACTCATCTCAGATCGGCTGAGGAGAGCAGTCCCCTTCTGATGCTGAACCTCACCCAATCTTGGGGCTCTGAGGTCCACTCCCTGAGCAGGACCTGCCCCGGACTTAGACCAGATCTGAACTCAGGTCCTTCACTGCATGGCCAGGCACACAGCAGGTGCTCAATAAGTATGACTGAATGAATGCATCTGGCACCACTTCCAGCAAACACATGGGTGACTGAAAGTGTCCACTCTGTTCCTGGCGCAGTTCTGGAAGTCAGGGAGGGACAAGATGGCCTCCGTGTGCTTCCCACAGGAAGCCGATAACCATGCCTGTGACTCTACCATAAGGCAGGGACCTCACTTCACTTTCATGAAGGAGACTGCGATGCCGACTCTGGAGCCAGACTTCCCTGGGTTTGGATCCAGCTCTCGGTTTGCTCATCTGTAAAATGGGGATGACAATCATGTACCCACTCTACAGGATTTTGCTGAGGATTGAATGAGTTTTTATAGCCAGAGTGCTTGGGAGACACACGCTCACCACGAAGTGTTTGTTCTTGTTCCAGATGGCGAATCAGAGGCCCATGGAGGCTGAGAACCCTGCCCAGGGTCACCCCAGCAGGAGGCGGCGGAGGCAGGACTTCAAACCAGGTCCTGCGACTCCAGAACTCTTTCATATCTCACAGCCTCTCTGCTGGAGAAAGATGAGTCCTTTTGCTTTTAGTCGAGTTAGGAGCAAGAGTTTGCCTTCGCATGGCTCTACCACCTAACCTTCCTGGCTGCTCTCACGTCAACGGCAATGTTTGCAGCTGATCCTTTGTAAAGACTGCAAGAATCGCAGGTTCCAGGTGCCACTCTGCCCCTTGGCAAAGGGCTTGGGACCTGCAAAGCTCTGCTCATGGGTTCTCCCGGCTCTGCCCCTTGCTCTGCTGAGTAGCTCTGGGTGAGTTGCTGCCTGTGTCTGGGCCTCTGTTTCCCTCTCTGGATAATAAGGAATTAGAGGACATGCTCTCCACCTCGGGTGAAACTGAAGAATACTTCCTGGAGATGCATCACCTCCCCTTATCATCACATGACTTCTAGAAGAAAGATGATCTTTGCTGGGGAGGAAACCAAGGATACCCAGCAAGTGAGCAGCCCAGCTTAGGTTCGGGATAGGAACCTGACAGTGATTTAGACATCAAAGGCCCTTCCAGTCCTGAGATCCTCACTGTGTAATAAACAAAGCACAGACAGCTCCCTGCTGCGGGAACCCACCGTGTGCGACATCTTACCTGCAGCGACGTCACCGTGGACAGGTCCTTAAGCTTCCCCTCCTCGTCTTTCAGGTTATAACCCTCGGGCCTCTTATCGCGTTCGGTAATCTTCCATAGTTTGATAGTTTTATCTTTAAAAACAGAACAAAGTGAAACAGGACACATGATGAGCACCAGCATGGAGAATGGAGGACCCACTGAGCCCACTAGATAAGGATGCATCAACACACAAGTGACTGATCCTCATCCTGTTCTTGGATCTATTGTCGTTGTTGTTTAGTGGCTAAGTTGAGTTTGACTCTTTTGCGACCCCAGGGACTGCAGGCTGCCAGGCTTCTCTGTCCATGGGATTGTCGTGGCAAGAACACTGGAATGGGTTGTCATTTCCTTCTCCGGGGGATCTTCCTGACTCAGGGCTGAACTTGCGTCTCCTGCATTGGCAGATGGATTCTTTACTGCTGAACCACCTGGGACGCCCTCTTGTACGTGTAGGCTCTTTCTAATTTAACTCCTTCTCTAAACTGATGCAACAAACATCTTTGCTAAGGGAACATTTGTAACCATGCTCTAATTCCTCACAATTGATCACAAAGGTGATAATGCTGGGTCAGAGGGCATGGCCCTTTCAAGGGCAGTTATCAGTCTCTCAACTGATTTCCACAAAGACCATCCTAATGAAGCTTCCTGCTCTTTACCCTTCATGGGCAGACCAAAGAGGGTAAGTGGTTTCCTATTTCTGAGCGGCCTCTCACCCATCCAGACACTCAGCTCTCCTGAAGCCTCACTTCTCTGGGATCCTGCCAAGAACATCAAAAGAGTTGTCTTCACTAGCAGTGATGTTTCATGGTCGGCATCAATGTGGCTAAGCCACACTACCCAGATATGTGGTCAAACATGTGGCTGTTGCCCTGAAAGTATTTCTAAGATGAGGTTAACATTTAAATCCATAGAGTAAATTATCCTCCACAGTGTGGGTGGGCCTCCTCCAATCAGGTGAAGGCTTTAGCGGAAAACAAAACAAAACAAACCAAACCAAGGTCCTGGGAGGAAGAGGAAGCTCTGCCAGCAGATGGCCTTCAGATCTGAGCTGCACCATCAGCTCTTGCCTGGTCTCCAGCCCACCTGGCAGACTGGGGACCTGCCCGCCCCCACAGACGTGTGCACCAATTCCTGAAGATAAACCTCTTCTTACATATATAGGGGCTTCTCTGGTAGCTCAGATGGTAAAGAATCTGCCTGCAATGGAGGACACCTGGGTTTGATCCCTGCATCAGGAAGATCCCCTGGAGAAGGAAATGGCAACCCACTCCAGTATTCTTGCCTGGGGACCTTCATGGACAGAGAAGCCTGGTGGGCTACAGTCCATGGGATCGCAAGGAGTCGGGCACAACTGAGCAAATAACACCATATATCTATATGTGTGTCTACATCTACATCCATATCTCTGTCTATACTCACACACACACACACACACACACACACACACACACACGTTCATCCTATTGGTTCTGTTTCTCCAAAAACCCTAACACGTACGGCAGCCCAAATAATCGCTGCCGTGTTCATGAGAAGCCAGGGGAGAAAACTGGTATCAATTAAACACTTGACAGGTACTCAGGGATGGGCTAGGGAGGAAAGGATGAAGCTGGGATTCAGAACCATAGGCGGGACGCTTGCAGGGCAGGTGTATGAGGGAGTTCCTGGAGCTGACCTTTCCTCCAAAGAGGGGGACGAGAATGCCACTCACTGTTAAATGATGTAAAAGAAAAAGCAGCACCGAAGGAGGCTCAGTTGCAGGCCCAGTTCGAAGCTTGTTATGATCTGATTTCCTTTTATTCTCCCAATAACTCCACAATGCAAGAACAGCCATTGACTTTAGAAGGGGAAGCGGCAGGACCAGGGTGTGAACCACATTAGGGGCTTCTGCCCCGGGTGGCCTGTCCCAGGGGTGGGGGACCTCCCACTGCCTCTGTCCCAGAACCTGGGAAGGGCCTCTCTGGCTCTGAGATGGGGGTTTGCTGAACTTGATCCTGTGCCAGGCACCCCTCAGGGGACACAGACAATCAGAATGGCAGGAGCCCCAGAGAGCAAGCCTTGGGGGGTCTGCGGGAGTGGGAAGGCCCATGAGAGGGACACCTGGCTCAGCTGAGAGGTCATGGAAGGCTCAGTGGGAGGAAACACCCAGCAGAGGCCTGAGGGATGAGAAGGGGATGGGCCAGGGGGTGCGGAGAGGACCAGTGTTTGAGCACAGAGGTGGGCCGGTGGCTTGAGATTGATGGGTTCCAGGGAGGCTGTAAATGCCTCCCCAAGGAGTCTGACTCCTTCGGGGAAGAGATGACATCATCTTGCAAGACTCACCCACTCTGGAGCAGTACTGGCTGGTCTTGGGGTGCTGGGTGGGCGCCACCTCCTTCCACCCTCATTGTAACCCCAAAGGGAGCCAGGTGACCAAACAGGATCAGAGAAGTGAGGCCACTCCGCAAGGTACCCAGGCTGGGACAGAGCCAGGCCTGTCTTAACCCCCACCCCGGGCAACTTTGAGCATGGTGAGGTGAAGGAAGATGAACAGGGGGATGTGAATGTGGGAAGTGGGGCCTCGGGCCCTGGGCCCACCACTGGGCAAGGCAAGATGGTGCCAGGAGCCACACCTCCGAGTAGACCACAGTGAAGCAGGGGTCCGGCCTGGAGCCTCCTCAGGGGCCTGGCGGGGGCACGGGCCGTCTCCCAGAGGCAGACGGCGAGTGGCCAGGACACTGGTGCTCCTCCTGCACCCTCAAATGAAGACCCCCCACCATCTAGTGAGACCCTCTGCTCTGGGGTGATCTGGGATTCTGGGGGGGGTGCAAACAAACAGGTAAGTTTGTATCAAGTGTTTATTCCTTATCCTGACCTGGCCTCCTTTGTCCACCCCCAGATTATTCAGAGATGTTCACGGCGCTGCTATTTACAGCTGCAGAAATAAGCCCATGTCCAACCACAGAGGCTGAGCAACCATATTCACTGCATGAAACTTACCCACTGCTCAAAATATTATTTTTTTTAGGAGTTCTAAAGACCTAGGAAAATGCTCACAATATAAGTGAGGTGAAAAGTGACTGCTGATGACAAACACATTTGCACACATGTACACACACATGCTCACACATGCACACATACAAGCCCAGACCACAATATAAGTGAGGTGAAAAATGGCATTTGATGACAAGAGCAGGCATGCATACGCACGCGTACATACACACACATACATGCACACAAAGGCACATGCACACACCCAGACCGGCCCGGCCGCCTCACCGTTGGTGGACAGCAGGGAATGGGCGGCATTCTGCTGCGGGAGCCACTTGATCTTGTTGATTTTCTCCTCTATCTCCAGACTCTTGAGATAGTCGAACTCTGGCTCGTGGCTCTGGAAAGTGCTGTAGACGTCATACTCGCCCTGGCTGTGTGGCGCATTTTTGCTCTGCAAGGAAACCAGGCCCTGAGCTCCGGGATGGTGGGGCGGGAGCTGGCCGAACCCACACAGCGCCTGGCACGGCCATGGCCAAGGCAACTCTGTTTTTAAAATGTCCAGTACCTTGCTGTGTGGCCCTGGCCCAGCCCCATTGCCCCCTCAGGGCAACAAGTAAGAAGGGCAACCAAGGGAGCCAGCGTTTACTGAGCACCTACTATGCACGGGACACTAAGTGCTTCTCACGCCTCCTCTCGTTCTATCCTTGATGCCCCTCCATGATGGGCAAAACTCCTCCCACTTTATAGATGAGCAAGTGGAGGCTCAGAGGTGAATCGACCCTCTCCCCCAAGGCCAGGTGTCCACACAGTGGTGTCACTCACTCCACTGAGGTCTGTCTAGCACCAAGACAGACCTGAGGTCTGACCTGTTCCTTACATCCTTGGGTCTAACTTGGGCCTGGCTTGAGGAATGAGTGCATTTTGGAGCAGAATTAACATTAGGGCAGAACATCCTGCAATGTCAGGCATAGGGATAGACTGGGATAAGGTATTGTCTCCCCCCGCCACACACACCGACTTTTCTGAGGTCCGGGCTCCCCTCCCGGTTTAGGCAGCCAAACTTATTAGAATAAGGACCTTCTAATGGAGTTCCCCAAATAGTCAGCTGGTGAGTTCATCGCAGGCACTAGGGACCACTTCTTGTTAGACAATTCAAGTTTATGTGACAACATGAAACTACAACTACTTGGGAGCAAAATAAAGAAATTCAACCAAAAAAAAAAAAAAATTCAACCAAGCACAACTTCAAGTTTCCTGTTGGCCTTTTGACAGTATCTATTTCTATTTCTTTTCCTCTTTTACTTTTGGAAAGCTTCAACATTCTTCAATATTTTTGCCTCTCATTCACTTCATCTCCTATTAGCACTGGCTATGGCAAAGGTCAGTGGGACTGGAATTAAGAAAAAAAATTAAAGGAGAAATATTCAAAACTGAGAAACCTGCCTCTGCCAGTTTAATTTCTTTCTGCAGTTTGGCAAAAACAAGATGACTTTGCAATCCCCAGTGGAGGCCTCTGGTCCTTCTCATGAATCAGAATGCTCGAGCCACAGGACTGGGCTAGATAATTAATTCCCAGCTACCTGCCTTCTGGCTGTGTGTCCTTGATAAGTTACTGCAAACCCTCTGAGCTCTGGTCTCCTCATCTGTAGACTGAGGATGGTAACAGCACTGAATGGCACCTCTAGGGTGGTGGTGAGGGAGGGTTATGGGAATGAACGTGGGTGAAGGCAGACCTCAGGGCACCTCGGCATGGGGACGATGCTGAGGAACTGGAGGGAGGAGAGTGACCCTTCAGCCCCTCTGCCCGTCACCCCTTCATCCTTCCCTCCGGCCCCCTCGTCTCCTTCTCTTCCTCGTCCGGCATCTCCTCTCCTCCCTCCCCCTCCCCTCACTGCCTTGCTGTTCCACCATCCTGTCTTCAGCATCTGATCCCAGCCCCCTTGGGAAGCAGGGTGCTGTGTGTGACCGACAGACCACACCCAGTCTCGCTTTCTATCCCTGGAATTTGCTTACTGACTGGGTGACTCTGAAAAGGTCCTCATTTATGAAATGGGGTTTCGGTCTCCACCCTTGGAGGTGGGCAGTGAAGAGTAAATGGGAGAAGCATATGCAGTGTCTGCATGTAGTAGGTGCTCAACAAACACGGCCTTTTAACCACCAGGTTCTTCCAGTGGCTCAGAAAAATGCCTCCAGGCAGGCTGTTCCAGACAACAGAACTCACTGGGGCAAGGCCCTGGGCTGAGTCAAACCATCAACCCTAGAAGGAGGGCCAGCCCACAGCGGGGGAAGGTCCCTCCTCCCCTCCACCCAGCTCTGGTTGGGACAGCTCCAGCTCACACAGGCAGTGCTGTCATTATTCGCTCAGGCATGTCTGACTCTTTGCAACCCCATGGACTGTAGCCCGCCAGGCTTCTCTGTCCATGGCAATTTCTCCAGGCAAGAATACTGGAGTGGGTTGCCATGCCCTCCTCCAGGGGATCATTCCAACCCAGGGATAGAACCCAGGTCTCCTGCATTGCAGGTGGATTCTTTACTGTCTGAGGCACCAGAGAAGCCCACACAGGCAGAGGGCAGATTAATCAGGAGTCTGTTTCTCCAGGGTCTAGGACACAGTGACCCCTCAGCAGAGGGGGTTCAGAATATGGTACTCTGAGCCGACCAGGTGGATTCCCTCCCTGAGACCTGCCGGGCCCCATCCCTGCATGCCAGGGCACCCTTTCCTTTCAGCCCAGGCACCCCGGTGGGGTGCTGCACGTGGCACCCTATGGGTTAAAGCCCAGGTTGAGTAGCCCTCCCTCCCTCCAGGCCCTGCCGCACCTCCGGTTCCCGCTGGAAGATGACAACTCGGCCACCCTTGTCGCCTGTGGCCAGCAGCTCCCCAGTATGGTTGAACTCGACGGTAGAGATGATATCGGCTGTGGTGGGGGGCGGGGGGAACAGAGACAGGAAGGCGTGGCTCATTAGGACCCAGTGATGTGTAAGTGGAAGGAACTGCTCCCT